CTGCCTCTTATTAGAATCACATGCTTGGGTATCAGGCTGCCTTGCTGGATTCTGACTTCCTTGAAGGGAGAACATGAATTTTTTTGTCTGTGGAACTGGGCTGGGGCTTGAGTTTTTGATATAGTAGCCATAGATTCATCCATCCAATCAGTCTACAAATACGTGTTTAGTACCCATGAAGGGTTAAGCATTACATTTGGCCCCTGGGAGAGGAGATGAATGATGCTGGGTCTTCCTGGTGTCGCAGGTGGTTAAGCGCAGCACTGTAAAGCTGTCCGAAGCCTCTGCAGTGCCAGTTCAATCTCCGCTGGCCGCAGAGATACCCACATGGCAGGGCAGACCTCTCCTGTCCCACCCGCTGCTCCCCTCAGCAGTGTATTTCAGTCAGTCTGCCTGTTCTGTTCACTGCTGTCTCTGGTGAATCCTCTCACCCTCCCACACATCTGACCTGTACCCTGGCTCTTGTATAAATAAATAAATCTAAAAAAAAAAAAAGAGAGAGAGATGAACGATGCTTACTAGCTAATTGAGGGGGGCAGTGAGTGCAAGCCACAAGGTGTAAACAAGGGAGAATTTCAGATTTGAATAGACTATGAAAGAAATACAGGAAATTAACAACTTGAGATGAGCAGATTTGTACTTTCAAGGAGGTGGTTAGGGGGAACCCTTAGATGACACCGCAGGGGAGACTGCAGACAGGAGGAGAAAAAAAATGTTGCAAATGGAGGGAAACTGCTCCATTGAAAAGATGCTGGATGCAGAAAGAACTTGGTTTGTTCTAGAAGCAGAGAGGAAACCAATGTGGCTGAAATGAGAATGAGATGTTAGTGAGGTCAACAGAAATCCATTCAGGTAAGAAGTTGTTGAAAGGTCTTAAATAACAGAGCACTTGAATCTGACTGATTATTTAAAAAGACAAAAAGAAAATACTTATGATGCTGTGTGAATAGAATGGACTATCAGAGAGCAAAAGAGGAATAGGAGATGCCAGTTAGGACGGACGGACTGACAGACAGACGGATGGTTTGGATAGTTAAATGGATACAAGGATGGATAGTTGAATGGATGGAGGGAGGAATAAGTGGGTGGGTGGGTGGAATGGGTGGATGGGTTAATGGTAGATGGATGGAAGGTATAGTGAGAGGAAAAAAAGGAATATGTGAGTAAATAACTGACTATGAAAGAACAAGCCCTATGAGAGTCATTGGGCTGATATATTTTAGTTAAAATTGGTTAAGTCAAATTTCAAAAGACAAAAACAAATTCTTTTCAGTGCCAGAATAATTGTCTAAAAGACTGCCTTGAGAAAGATGATATATACTTAATAATATGTTTACAGGCAGATTTGTTTAAAAACATTGTTCTAGTCATTATATTTTAAACATAATCATGTCCTCTGTCATAGCAATTCCACCCCTAGAGTTCTAAAAAAAATGCATAGATTTTTGTATAAAGAATAAGTTATCTATGTATTGGAAAGGGACTTAACAAATTATGCACATTTGTTCTAACAGAGTACACATAGCTATCAAAATATAGGCTGTTGTTGTATATATTCTAACATGGACCAATGACCACTTGTAAGTGGTGGTGGGAAAGGCAAGTTACTGTGTGTGTGTGTGTGTGTGTGTGTGTGTGTGTTCTGAGAGAGTAGAGAACTTTAAACCACAGCCTCTGCTTTTTGGTGGTTGATATTGTAGCCACTAGCCACCCACGGCTATTGACCACCTAATTAAAAAGGGGACTTACTCAGAATAGAGATTTGATCTAAATGTAAAATACTCACTGGATTTTAGATATTTACAATGACCAAAAAAAAAAACAGTAAACTGATTAATGAGATTTACATTCATGCTACATGACAATAATACTTTTAACGTTTCATATCGAGTTAAAATTGCATGGCTGAAGTTAATTTTCCCTGTTTCCTTTTACTGTTATGCATGTGACTAGTAGAAAATTTAAAATGGCCTTTGCAGCTGGACAGTGCTCTCTACTGGACAGTGCCCCGCTAGCAGGGGAAAGCAGAGAGCCTGACTGCTCTGGAGAGTCGGACTGGGCAGAAGGTGTGATGGGGACAGGGAATAGGGACTTAGAGCTTCAACCTAAACTATATTATAGTCTTCCAAAAGCATTTAATTTTTAAATGCACATTAGGAAATCCAGGCAACATCAGTAGTTTATTTACTAGCATTGTGCTAATGTTCATTTCTTGGTTTTGACAAATGCCCTAGGGTTCTGACAGCTGTTTGCATTGGAGGAAATATGAATACAGGACCTCTCTGTAATGTTGTTACTTTTCTGTAAAGCTCAAAATTACTTCAAAATCAGAAGTACAAAGAAAACAACAAGAAGGGAAACAATTTAAGAAGAAACATCCCCTACACCTTCATCTCAGCACACTCTAAGGTGACTGGCTCCAGACTGACTTGTCCCACTCAGAGTCCCCATAAACACGTTTGCTGGAAACAAGCAGCTAGGATTGTTCACTGTGCATTTTCTTAGTTATTACCTGAAGTACCAGCAATTCAGATCACTCTCTCCTTCCAGGATGATAAGAAGTTGTCTGGCTGGGTTTATTAAGAATGTTTGTTAAAATGGGAATGTGAGGGCCTCCCCTGGTGGCGCTGCAGTTGAGCACTGGGCTGCAAAGCTGCCTGCAGCCTCTGCAGCGCAGGTTCCATCCCCTGACAAAGGTGAGGGTCCCACATGGCACCACAGACCTCTCCTGCCAAGCCCGCTGCTCCCCTGAGCAGTGTATTTCGTCAGTCTGCCTGTTCTGTTCCCTGTTCTGGCTCTGGTGAATTCTCTCACCCTCCCGTGCTTCTGACTGTACCCAGTGCTTGTATAAATAAATAAATAAATCTTTAAAAAAAAAAAAAAAGGGAAAGTGGCTGGTGAGAATGAGGAAAAACACCAATTCTCTGAGAATTTTGCAACTGGAGATCAGAAAGCCCCATCTCCGTGGATTCCTTACTTCAGCTCTTAGATTTAGCGAATACTAAGGTCAAGAGATGTTTGCTAAGATCTTGTGGTGAACCTTGGGATAAAGAAATATATCATGGCTTCCCTAGTAGCGCAAGGGGTTAAGCTTCAGCACTACAAAGCAATCCGCTGCTTCTACAGCACAAATTTAACCCCTGGTCAGCCAGGCGCAGCAGACCTCTCCTGTCTCGCCCACTACTCCCCTCAGCAGTGTACATCGGTCAGTCTGCCTATTCTGTTCCCCACTCTGTCTCTTGTGGATCCTCTCATCCCCATCCCCCGACACTTCTGGCCTGTACCCCAGTTCTTGTATGGATAAATAAATAAAACTTTAAAAAAAAGGAAATCAAGCAATCTATGTTATTAGCATAACAAATGTATGACGCCTACATTTATACAGTGGTTCAACACATGTGTTTGGATCAAGAAGAAAATTCAGTGTACTGAGTCATAATGGCAAGTTAAAATATGAGATAAAATGAAAACAGATTAGATGTAGCTATATAGAGATTTCAGAGCTGATCAAAGATACACACTGCATTGGAATGTAAAATATTTCTGCATCACAGGAACAAAGTTTAAGAAGAATGAAAAAGTACAAAATGTAGACCTGACAAAGGATAGCGAATTTATCTTAAAATAATGTGCATATTTAAACAGATGTCCCACCACAACCATCACACAGGAATAGCTTAAATAACCATTTTTTTAATCTTATTACTTTCTCTAGAAAAAGAGTGTCATACCCTAAGCAGAGGAATTCAAACAGAAATCACAGAAAAAAAGTCATGGCTATGAGTGAGTGACTTAGAATGAATGACCTTTAAATTGCCACCAACATGACTGAGAAAAAGCTGTGGAGGCTGGACAAGCCTGAAACTTACATTTCAGAGTCCTCCCAAAACGGGGGAAGCTTCCAGCAATGGTCCCACCTGCCCTGAATCTCCCCTCTCCCCATTTGAGTCCCAGGAAAGAATAACAGAAAATCTTAAAATTTTCAGCTTTAGGGCCTCTCCATTTATCTCCAGAAGGATCCAGACTTTCTCCATAGACATCTGGATATAACACTAACATTTTTTTTTTTTTAATTTAAAGTTAAATGAGGGCCTCCCTGGTGGCGCAAGGGATTAAGCACTGCACTATGAAGCAATCCCCAGCCTCTGCGGCACGAGTTCGATCCCCGGCTACCCAGGGAGCATCCCACATGAGGAAGCAGACCTCTCTTGTGTCACCAGCTGCTCCCCTCCACAGTGTATTTTGGGTGATCTGCCTGTTCTGTTTCCCACTCTGTCTCTGGTGGATCCCATCACCCCCCGCATCTCTGGCCTGTACCCCAGATTTGTATGCATAAATAAATCTTTTTTAAAAATAAAGTTAAATGAGAACCAAATTTAAAGGGGAATGGGCCTGAGAGGACACCTCAATATCCATGAATAAAAGTTTAAATGCTTGGAATTTCTAAATTTAAGAGTGACTGATAGATAAAAGATGGTAACAACTTACTTTTCCAATCTAAAAAGATCAGGAAACACTCCCCCCCATTTTTTTCAGTCTATGGGTCTCTTACTGCTTGTCATTTCCTGGACTCTTTGCAGTAACTTTTCAGCTTTTTTTTTCTGTGCCACTGTCCCCATTTTAAATAATGTGGAGTGTGCCCCAGAGTGAAAACTGGGTCCAGTTCCAATTTGGTACCTGTACGTTTGAGCCTTCACCTTGAACTTAACCCCTCCAAGTCTTCCTATCTTCCTCTGATAAGGAGGGCAGGCTGGAAACATAACTGTAATGCAGAAGCTAATGTTTTTATTATTAAAAAATAGAGAAAGTAATCTAAACAATTAGAGAATCACATAAAAGGAACAAGTGACAGGCTGGCCCGGGACCATTTGCCCCATGGAGTAGCCATATTCACTTGGGAACATTCTTCCAAGACTGTATAAAGTGGGGGAAAAAAATAGCATCAACTATATTATACTATTCTGAATTTTTTTCTTCTGAGTGAGCAATAAATTATTCTTTTCTGACATATAAGGCAAGTTCTATGAGGCTAGGGATCTTCTCCTTCGTCTAATGTATTTCTAGGAGCTAGGACAGTGTCAGAGCTCAAATTAAATGCCAGTAACTATTCATTGAAGGAAGCTCCTTCCTGTCAGATCCAGTGCCAGTTCTGTGGGGTCAGAAGTGTATTTGTTTGGTCTCTTTCTATGGTCTCAACACCAGAGCATGCCTGGCATATAATAAGCATAATAAATATTTGTTGAACTGGTAAAGCAACTCCAGGAAGAAAGCACCAAACTCTTTTTAACTGCACTCGTGTGCCAATGTACCACCGTAACCACTTCTTCCAACTACCAATGGGAAAAGCCTTACCAAATCACTACTTTCACCGCACCCGTATACACACCCTCGTTTAAAGAGATTTGTAGAATATCTTTTTAGGGGAGAATTGGGGGAAACCACTAACCTGGTCCAAATATGTTCTGAAGTCCCTTCCCTTTAGAAATTCTTAACTTTAAAATACTTATGATTAATTTTACAGCTTGCCTGAGAGCACTGCCTATAATTTTGCAAAATGATCTCCCTTACATACCTCAGTGTTTCCCCAAACTGTCTAGATGCTGCCAAACACCATAATTCACACAACAAGACTGCAGGAAAGACCCAGAAACAAGCAGACTGCCAGCATCCTGGGTGACCAGCATCTTTTACTTGCAGCATCGAGTTCAGCCATCACCTGGGGAGCACTGGAGTTTCAGGCAGCAACAAGACCATATTGTGTATCATTCTTTATGTGCTGAAGAGGGAGACAGACAAGAGTAACAACTCCCCAGGGCTGTGCTGAGAGAGGATGCTGAGAACACAAAGCCTGGAGCAGAGCAGATGGGAGCTGGGGGGATTTGTGAGTTTTCCAAGAAGCAAGGCTATACAGCCAGGATCTGTCAGAACCCAACGTAGAAAAGTCCCTCAAGAAAGTACATTTCTGATGATTTAATTTTTTCACTCCAAAGATACTTAGTGAATTTCTATTATGTCTGAGAGCTGGGCCAGGCCCTGGAGAGGTAGCAACAGCTGACTACTGTCTTCCCATCAAGGATCTGATGCTGATAGGAACAGATCTCGGAATTGCTGCTTTCCACAAGGAAACAGAATCCACATCCGAGTCACTGCTTCTCTTCTATGGAAAATCCAGCTCATGAATGGAGAAGTTGGTCAGAGACATTTCCCTTTCAAAGCACCCCAAGCAGAACCTGGCCACACAAACTGAGCATACTTCCCTTTTTCCAGCGCCTCCTACACACAGTAGTCTCTCACGTGGTCTCCCCATAACTGAGGCAAAGGAGTGCAGGGGCACTCACTGCAGGGAAGCCAACATTCAAAGAAGAGTAAACCTGGATATTCAGAGGGAACTTTCTAGAACCTTCTAGTCCTACTCCAGTAGTTGCTTGACCCTTCATGGATCACAGATCTCTTTGAAAATCTGTGACTTCTTTGGCCTTTCTGTACCAAAAAGAGACATAGCCATGTATTGGCACATCATTTCCCTCTATTTTCAGGAGCTTCAGGGTCACCAAGGACTGATTTTACAGCCATTCCAGAGACCCCCATATTAGAATTCCTACCCATATGAGCACCCTGACAATAACTGAGATGAATAGTTCTGTCCACTGGGATCTGGAGGTACCATTGTACCTAAGTCAGTGGGTTCCAGTTCAATACACTGTGAGCTAACTAGCATCAGAAAATGGGCCATTCAGGCTTGGTAGTGATGGGACAGATCTTCCAGGAACAGCCAGCAGACACTTCATGGCTTTCAAAGGAGACAGCACCAAGCTCAAAAAAGAAGCCTCTGGAGTCGAGGGTGATGAAAGGTCAGGATGGCTGCTCGGGGATGACAGAGCAGTAATATGCATAGGGATCCTCCATTTCGTATGCGTTCTCCTCGATGACGTAGTTCTCCTCGATGACGTAGATGTTCTCCTCCGAGCGACATCCCTGTGCTGCCATGTTGGCTAACCCTGAGGGGGCTATGTTGACTGAAGTAACCAGGCTGTGGGAACAGAAGATTGCCCTTGAGTTAAGCAATTCCAGGACAAGGCAGGGTTAGGGGAACAGGCTTGTTGAAGACTAGGGAAAAACATAAAACAGCAATATGATAATTTGGGGAACAATACAGTGGAAAATTTATCTTAATTTTCTTTTTTTTTTAAGATTTATTTATTTATATAAGAACTGGCGTACAGGCCAGAGGCACGGGGTGGGGAGGTGAGAAGATTCAGAACAGGCAGACTGATGAAATACACTGCTGAGGGAGCAGCAGGTGAGACAGGAGAGGTCTGCTTCACCATGTGGGATTCTCGCCCGCCAGCCAGGATCGAACTCACACTGCAGAAGTTGCGGACAGCCTCACAGTGTGACACTCAAACCCTTGCACCACCAGGGAAGGCCCAGTCTTAATTTTCTTATGGAAAAAAAATGGCATTGTGTTATAGGGAGGCATGAACCAAAGTGCTTAGGTGATGTGTGCAGATGTCTGAAATGTGCTTACAAATGGTGCAGACAAGATATGGGGCCTATAAATACAGAAACATAAGGTAAATGTGTCAAAATGTGAAATGAATTGTTCAGATGAAGGCTCTGTGGTCCCTGTACCATTATTGCAACACTGAAGTGGTTTGAACAATTTCCAAAAGAAAAAGGAAGGAATGTGTTATGGATCCAATCAGAATTGTCTCCATTGCTTACCAGGCTTATGACCTTGGGTAAGACGAGCTTTGTGTTTTTCATTCATTCATTCAAGCAATATTAATGTGTTCCACTCTGGTCTATGCAGCAGGAGCTACAGCCATGTACAAGACACAACACTCCATGCAGGGTACATGTGAATACACTTTGTGACTCCAGCTTCTCCTCTGTAAAATGGGATTTAAAGTGCTCTAGCTCACAGGTTACTGTTAGGAACATTTATTCAATCATCAAATATTTATTTAGTGCCTGCAAAGCATCAGGCACAGGGTTCAGGCATATAGTTGTTAATGTGGTAGACAAGTTCCTAGCTTTCTCTAGAGCTTACCTTTATAGGAAGAGATGAAATTAATCAAATAATTTCACAAATAATGTATTAATGTATGTAAATGCATACCTATGAAAACAATCACAATTTCTCTTTATTTTCTCTTGAATCTTATTTTTTAAACTTTATTTATTGTTATTGAAGTACCACTGTTAGTGTCAAAATCTTCTTAGTGTTCGGCCTCCCCGGTGGCACAGTGGGTTGAGTGCAGCGCTGTGAAGCTGTCCGCAGCCTCTGCAGTGCCGGTTCAATTCCTAGCTGGCCAGGGAGATTCCCACATGGTGTGGCAGACCTCTCCTGCCTCACCCGCTGCTCCCTTCAGCAGTGTCTTTGGTCTGTCTGCCTGTTCTGTTCCCCACTCTGTCTCTGGTGAATTCTCTCACCCTCCTGAACCTCTGACTGTGCCCCAGTTCTTGTGTAAATAAATAAATCTTTAAAAAAAAATCTTGTTAGTGTTTAGGATTTCTCCCCTAAGGTATGGTCACCATAGCTTTCCTACCATCAAAGCACCCATAGTCCTCTACCATAGTCCATTGTCTCTTCCGCCCTCCAATTTCTCCTCTACACCTTCCCCTCCTCCTATGAATGCCTCAGTTCTATGGTCAGCTTTCAAGAATTGGTTGTAACGTTTGTCTTTGACCCTTATGTTTGGTTTCTCTATATGTCCACATATAAGTGACAGCATCCTATATTCATCATTCTCCTTCTGACTTACTCTATTTAGCATAATCCCTTCTGGCTCCATCAATGTTGCTGCAAGTAGCATGAATTTATCTTTTTAGATGGCTGAGTAATATTCCATTATGTATATCTACCACATATTGAGACAAAGATCACATTTCAAGTGTTAGGCCTAAAAAGGAATACTGGTCTAGATGTACTAATACAATATTCTATTTGACCTTATTAGACTTTTTTACTACAGATGCTTGTCTTCATAATTATACTGGCTATACTTAGTCTAAAATTATTAGTTGCTTAGATCATACTCAATGCACAGAGTCATTTTTTCTTGATGCATATTGCATTTTACCCATATGCCAAATATCACTAAAATCTAGTAAAAATTATATAAACTTTGTCTATATGGAAGAGGTGCGTGTGTGCTTGTGTAGTTAGGAATGAAAGCAAAGACTGAGACAGAGTAAAACAGTGGTACTCAAGCCTGTTTGTATATTAGTATCTCCTGGAAAACTTTGGGGAAAATGCCTTCACTTAGGCCTCATCCCTTAAGATTCTGACCGATTTGCTCTGGAGCTGGCAACAATCTAAGTGTCCTAGATGATTCTACCAATCAAAGATAAGGCTCTGAGTTTCTTGTTCACTTCTGTGACCCCATTTCCAGGCCATAGTCTAGAGATAGGAGGTGCTCAATTAGTGAAAGAACCAGCTTTCTGAAAACAAAAAATCCATTCCTCTAGAAATGAATAAGCATTTCCTATCAATGGGAAGACAAACTGTATACCTTCACTTTAGGAGGACAGATGCTAAAGAGATAAACTGAGCTTCAAGTGGAATTTTCATTTGCTAAATCTAGGCCTAAAGCAAAAGAAGCACAAGGTTAAATCCCAAAGTCTCAGGGCAGGCTGCCTTAGAGCCAGGACACACTAGAGTAGAGACCTCCTAGAGTCCCACGTTCCCCTACCTGCCCATTATTCTTACCTTGAATTCTGTAACTTCTCTTTCCTATGAGAATAACCTAGGCAAAAGGTAGAAGAAAAGTCAATTTAAAACCGTTTACATAAAATAAATAAGAAATAAAATGGACTCACTGGAGGCAAGGATGATTTAGGGCATTCTGATATCCCCTTTGGTTGAATTAATTCAAACTACTGACATGTATGTAAGTTTTTTACAGGAACTATACTAGACAGTAATAAAGGTACATTTCTTCATATTTAACAAACACACAGAGCATCTCCTGTGTGTCTGGAGTGAGCTAATCCTTGGAATGCAAAGGGAAATTATGAGTCCTGGTTTCAGAAAGCGGTGTTATAGTAAGGAGGGTATTTAAAAACTAATAAACTAATAAATAGGAAAAAATAATCATTTCAAATTGTGATTGATATAAAGGAACCCAACAATGAACTGGAAAAGATAACAGAGAAGTTAGTCAGGCAAAATCTCAGTTCTGAAAGGAAAGAATGAGTCAGCCAAGTGAGGAGCCGGGGAGGATCCACTTCAAAGAACTTCTGGGTAACAATTGTGGGAAGCATCTGAAACTGACAAAAGGGCCAGAATAATAAAGTGATCAAGACAAGGTCTGAGCCTTAGGCTGGGGTGGGATCCCACAGACACTTCTAAGTCACATCATTAAGAGTTTGATCTATAAACGTCATAGAAGGACAGAAAGCTGACCTGATTGAGTTTTAAGACCACTCTAGCTATGTGGAGAATCGATTCAAAGCAGGTATAAAAACTAAGGAGTAGAGATGATGATATCTCAGAGTAAGGTTACCACCTTACTGAAAGAAATGCTGATTAATTGATAGATTCTAGATATATTTTGGAGACAGGCTTTGCAGGGACTGAAGTTGGACTGGGTGTGGAGGGAAGAAAGCAGATGCAAAGATTAAGTAATCAGATGGATGTGGTAAAGACTATGGAGGGGACTGAGATTCTGAGAATGGAATATTCAACCCAGAGCTCCATCTTGAACATGTTAAATGGGGAGATGTTTACATGGATATCACCATTAGACAGCTCGACAATCAGCCCCAATAGTCCTAGATCTAGGGAGAAATCAGAGATGACATTTAAGTCTATGGGAATATAGGTCACACCTAGAGGTTGCAGAGAGGTGGGGAGGGCCTGCCCGAGGAACCTCAGTATCTAAAAGTAGGCAGAAGAAGGAATAACAAAAGTGACAGAAAAGGAATAGCCAAATGAAGAGGGAGAGTGGTGCTTCAGAAGCCAAGACAAGGAACGAGTTCTAGAATAAATGAGAATCAACTTGGTTGAGTATTGCTGAAAGACTGAAGCCAGGGCTGAACTTCCAGTTCAGATGCTCAATTCTTTTTTTTTTTTTTTTTTTCCCTAAGACTGCTTATTTATGGTGCTCAATTCTCAGCCTCCACTGCAATCTCTTGGTAAACCAGGTAAGTGTGGGTGGGGTTTTTTCTTTCTGGGAAGAGGTTATTTACTGATAATGACAGGATAACATTATGGTGACAGGCAAGTCAGCCCTGGCTTCAAACCCTGTGGGCAAATGAGTTAAGCAGTCCTTGTGGAAGTAGTTATGAAGATTTAGTGCATAGAAACCACATGGCTGCTTCAAGCCACATGGCTAGTGTGACTCATCCAGCCCAGTTTTCCCTGGACAGTCACTCTGTTTTTGCACTGGAATGCTCATGTTTTAGGAGCCCTGTTCAATCCTGGGCAAACCTGGGGTGGGTAGTCCCCTGATGCACATTAGTGAGAAAAGTGCTAGGTACTGGGAATTAGCTTCTGCCCTCAAGAGAAGAGATGACAACTATAAACTACAACTATATGACAAGAGTGAGCTTTGGGGTAATGGGGAGTTTCGCCTAGATAGTGCTGATGGTTTCCAGGTGTAATTAGCTATCAAGTTAAACACACTTCAAAGAACCAGTTATTGAGCATTAATCACACTTTAATTATTTTTTTTAAAAATAAAGGTAAGTAACAGGGAAAGAAGTGTATGGTGAGTGTCTCAGAGCAATACAAAGGTTGCAATCCGGCTCATCTTGTGGGCCCTCCCTCGGGCGTTAGCCTGAGAAACAAATCAGATAGAAAAAATGCCCAGAAGGAACTGAGTTTCTTCTTTGTGTTTCCTTATAGACCTGGGCATATTCCGGAATTAAATAGTTTTGTTTTCTTAATGAAGAGAACAGAAACTGGAATCAGCTTGCCTGGATCTGAATTCCAGCTTTGCCACTTGTTATTGGGAAACCTTGGAAGTGGTTTCTCACAATGCGTCTGTCTCTCCCTCGCTGTCCGGTGGGGATCTTACCACAGACATGCACCTGCCCACCTTAGAAATCACCAGTGCCTGCCTGTCACTTGGGAAGCACCAAATAAAAGTCATTGTAAAGTATTTAGTCTAATTACCCTTAGGGATAATGGATTTTTATCTGCTATCAAAAGCTTTTTGCCTGATATCAACAGTTCTATCTGATGTGGTTCCTACATGAATAGTTCCTTATCAGAAAGGAAAGAGAGAGCAACATCAACCTACTTACATTTGAAAATCATAACACCAAAGATAAGGAGCAGAAGCATCCCAGCAGACACCCCTGCTCCCACATAGATGACGCTCATCCTGGAGCCAGTGGGGCCGACCTCAGCAGCCAATGAATAATTTTGCTGTGGAAACGAAAAGAGATTTGAGTAAGAGGCCAGAGCCACTCTGGGCTCAGCCATCCTGGCCACGGGCATTGGGGACCATCCTCCTTAGAATCACAGGAGGTAGGACTTTGTAACCACACACCATTGCTCCCTACTTGAAGAGCCTCAACCACCTAAAGGTAGTGGTACACTTGCACTGTGGTGTAATAACTGATAGGGGTACCCAATATTACCTCAGTTAAAAATAAATAGAGATGGAATTTTAAAAAAGAAGGGGATGAGCTTAATCTCTGCAGTCAGGGGCCTCCCTGGTGGCGCAAAGGGTTAAGACACAGCACTATGAAGCGTCCTCAGCCACTGCAGCACAAGTTTGATCCCCAGGCAGGGAGGTGATCCACATGGCGCAGCAGACCTCTCCTGTCTTGCCCGCTGCTCCCTCAAGCAGTGTATTTCAGTACATCTGCCTGTTCTGGTCCCCACTCTATCTCTAGTGAATGCTCTCACCCCTGCATCTCTGGCCTGCTCCCCAGCTCTTTTATGCATAAATAAATAAATCTTTAAAAAAAAAAAATCTGCAGTCAACTGGAGAGGGAAATTTGCCCTCCGTGCTGGGTCAAGAAGACACTGCTCTTAAGCACCCCCCCCCAAACAAAAATGGACTTTAGAGGGGAGACTTGCTTATTATTCAAGATCCCCTGGGGGTCCAGGTAATTTCATAGGGGTCTAAATTCAGCATCTGGCAATGAAACCTGGATTTTCGTAGAAAATTTCAGATTTCAGAGCCAGGATGCTGCTGGCAGACCTTCCTGTGTTCAGATCCCAGCTCCATCCCCAAGAGCTGTGTCCTATTATAGAATTATCAGAAAAACTAAAGGACAAAAATATAGAGAGTGCCTGGTACCGGGGCTGGTACATGACAACTGCTCCTGGCAGCTACCACTGCTGTGCTTCTAATTAGTAGGATTTTCTAATCACTGAGAGTCACACAGAAAATCCTTCTGCTTCTATAATTTCCATCCATGTTCCCCCTTGAAAAACAATAAACAATTTGGAAACTAAGACAGAATATAGAGAAAGAAAAGGAAAGGAACAGTCAAACTGAACCAAAACAAACCCTTAAAAAGTGATGTTAGAATTGAGGCTGGGGGCGGGGGAAGGTGGAAGCAAAGCAGGGGGCTCAATGCTGGAGGACTGGTGGGCGCGGAGGGGCAGACTTTGGTGGTAGGTGTGGTATGACAACGTGCATCTACCCAAGGAGGGGTGAACCTATACAATGTTGTAAACAAATGTTAACCTCAATGAAAAAAAAAAACATTTAAAAAATAGAACTAAAATATCAAGGAAATTAAATTTTCATTTCTTCATCCAGCATTTACTTCAGGTGCCATATACAGGCATGCTAATGTGCAGCCAGTATTGGGGCACAGGGGCACTGCCAGGGCACTCACTAATCACAAAGACGAAGCAACAGACACAAAATGTGAAGATGCAGACAGGAGGTTCAATGGCTGAAGATGCCGTAGAGAAGGCTGAAGGCAGAGCTGTCAGCTTGCTTCCCAGGATGCTTCCCTTCTCCGCTGAGAAGGTGGAGGACACTAACATCATGCTTAGTGGGACTAGTGCTTCATTTATATCTATATATATAAATTCATGGCTTAGAATATCCCCAGTGAGTATCTTCACACACATCAATAAACTTAATCAAAACACTCTTTCTCATCAGAGTGACAAAAGAAAGAAGACACATACTCTGGGGAGGTGGAGGGGTGTTGAGGCCTCCCCAAGGGATGAGGTGGTGATCTCTGAGGAGAGAGGCAAATGCTTATGGCTTCCTGTCAGTTTCCTGCACTGGTGATGTGCCAGGGGCTGGTGCACCAGGCTGCGCACTACAGGCAACAAGGTGGCACTGTCACGCTAGGTGGCACTGAAGCTATGGGAGGAGAAGGCATTTTCCCCAAGGAAGAGCAAGGAGGAAGATGAAAGCCTTGCTCCACTCTGATCTAAACACAATGTTGGGGCCTCCCCTAGTGGCGCAGCAGTTGAGTGCTGGGCTGCGAAGCTGCCTGCAGCCTCTGCAGCGCCGGTTCAATCCCCAGCCTCTGGGCGAGGGTCCCACATGGCGCACAGACCTCTCCTGCCGCCCACTGCTCCCCTCAGCAGTGTACTTCGTCGGTCTGCCTGTTCTGTTCCCCACTCTGGCTCTGGTGAAATCTCTCATCCTCCTGCGCTTCTGACTGTACCCAGTGCTTGTATAAATAAATAAATCTTTTAAAAAATAATAAAAAAAAGATAAACACAATGTTGGCTGGAAACTTACTGTTACTGTTTGATTTTCATCATGAAGGGTCGCCTGGGTCTGGTTCTGGGTTTCTGCTACAAAGAGGAAAAATAGCCAACAGAATGGTTAAATATGTTTTTTTTTTTTTTTTTTTTTTTTTTTTAAATATTAAATTTTATTTTTATATTCCCCCATACAATTCAGAATGGTTAAATATGTTTTATCTGAGTTTAAAAAAAAAAACAACCTCAAAACCCAAACAAACCCTTGAAATCTGATTGGAGAACTGAGGCTGCAGAAGTGGAAGGAGGAGGATGGGGAGCACCGAGGAGAAGGTAGAGGAGGCTAAGGTGGAAGATTATGGTGCCTTAGTGTTAGGTGTGGTGTGGTAGCATGCACAGAGGTGTGAGCCTGTGCCCCTAAGTCATGCACAGTGTTATAAACCAATGTTAACTCAATAAAAATAATACAATTAAAAAATAAATATTGATTAATATGGTTACAAGAAAGATTTTCAATGGAATTTGGAGCACTGTATGCCTGATTTCCTATCTGTTGGGCAGTGAAATAACAAGTCTAGATCTAGATGTAATTTTAGCATGGCCATAAATTCAATTCTATACCTGAAAAGTAAAATATGAAAGATGCCCATAAACCTAGTTGAAATTAATTCTACTCTAATCTCTTCACAATCATTAACAGGGAGACCAGCAAAATGAGCCCAACAAGCCAACCTTAAAAAGACCACATTTTGGGGGGCCTCCCTGGTAGTGCAAGGGGTTAAGACGCAGCACTATGAAGCTATCCACAGCCACTGCAGCACGAGTTCAAACCCCAGCCAGGGAGTGACCCACATGGCACAGCAGACCTCTCCTATCTCTCCTGCTGCTCCCCTCAGCAGTGTATTTCAGTAAATCCACTTGTTCTGCTCCCCACTCTCTCTCTGATGAATCCTCTCAACCACCACATCTCTGGCCTGCACCCCAGCTCTTGTATGCATAAGTAAATAAATCTTAAAAAAAAAAATTAAATGACCACATTTTTTTCAATGAAAAATAATGAACCAAACTACTTTTGTTTTATGAAATGGAGACTTGTGCCGAATATATGTGTTTTGCTACATCCACAGGATTTTCCAGAATTCTAACAATGTAGCACTCAGGTAGGCATTCCATTGTAATTAAACTTGCAGAGATAACAAAAGTTCATTTTCTTGAATGAGTTTAACATTTACTCAATAAGAGGGAGATGGAGTTTGACTGCCTAAAAATGAAAATGATAACAATATCTACAATTCATCAGGAGCAGGCACAGTGCTAACTCTTTAAGTACTTTAAGTTCAGTGTGCAAAATAACTGCCCTAAAGGAGTTATTTTAGTTGATCACACAGATGAAAAGGCTGAGTGTTAAGAAGTGTATTGACGTTCCGTGGGTCACACAGTTTAGTGCATCATGACCTTTCAATTACGACCTTCCAAGTCCTGTGGCTTTAAGCAGACTCTTTACCAGCTACCTTCAACAATCTTCGGGCCAGCCTCGTCTCCGCCCAGCTGTTAATTGTTTCCTTTTCACTCACTTGCTTATTTTCTCAGGGGCCCAATTCAGTGGATGAACATATCACATTCTTTATACCAGGCAAGGGACCAAGCAGTGAGCAAGATGGGTACAGGCCCTGATCTCAGAGACAACACATTCTAAACTGCAACAGACTGTGAGCTTTGGGGGAACTGAACATGCCTACTCATTCTTCTGGCTGAGTCAGAGGTGCTGGTGTTTCTTCTCTGTCAAGTCACTTTCCGGAAGCCCCCAACGCCTGAACTTTTTAACACTGGTTTAACAGACTATGATTTTAATGTTATAAAAACAGCCTGGAATTTTTTTTTTTTTAGGAAAGAAAACTTATCTTCCACTTCCCTTTGTTCCTCATCTCCCAAAAGGAAGTTGAAGTATAAAAACATTGGTGGAAATGGTGGAACATGAAGCTCAATCACACACAAGATCTTTGAATGTTAAGTCCAGTTTCTGCTTCCAAGGAGTTATTTTTCTTGGTGTAAATGGTAAGACTGATGACTTTTTTTAATTCATTATCCAGTGAAAATGAACAATAAAATGGAACACTAAAAGGTTACTATTTTCAGAGACAGCCATCAGGAGGATGTGTGTGAGAGGGGCAGGGTGTGAGGACAGCTGGAGGAAGTTGCAGTGTTTTTTCCTAGAAAACCCAAGACTTAGCTGGGCAGGGGGGTAGATGTGATGGTCTTAAAAGTGTACAAATTCAATAGTTACCACCTAGTCCACATTATGTGCCAGACATGGTATTTAGCACTTAACATGTACAATCTTTTAATTTTCACTACAATCATTAGGGAATATTATTTTCCCATTTTTCAGAAAAAGAAACAGAGTCTCAGAAAGGTACTTTTAACCCAAGATCACACAGCTCTTAATTTGCAAACCTGAGATTCGCATCAACTCTACCTCTAAAACTGAGGGATCACAGGGACCCAATCCTTAAACTTTAATTTGTTGAGACTCCAGTGTACTTTTACTAACAGGTTAAATCTAACCACCTTCCACTTTAAAAGACACATGTTGGGCCTCCCTGGTGGCGCAAGGGGTTAAGCACCGCACTATGAAGCAATCTGCAGCCTCTGCAGCCTGAGTTCGATCCCCAACAAGCCAGAGAGAAACCCCCATGGCACAGCAGACCTCTCCTGTCTTGCCCACTGCTCCCCTCAGCAGTGTATTTTAATCAGTCTGCCTCCCACTCTGTCTCTGGTGAATCCTCTCAACCCCTGCATGCCTGGCCTGTACCCCAGCTCTTGTATGCATAAATAAATAAATCTTTTAAAAAAATAAAATAAAAATAAAATACATATGTACATAACTACCTATGACTTGACTTACATGTAACTGATCAACATGTTAGATATTGTAGAAATAGTATAAATATCAGTAATTTTAATTTCTCATTTCATTTTTCTATCTTGGATACTATATCTCCTTACTTGCCTATTTGCTTGGGCTTTTGAAAAGCTCAGATTGTAGGTTCTGTGCCTATATTCAAGAGATGGTCCCATGCTTGTTGTCCTAGAGGAAAGGAACTAAGAAGTAAAATTCAAAGGGGAGGAGACAGCTGGTCTGGGTAGAAAAAGCTCTAAGGCAGTGCCCAGCTCACAAGGAAGCAAGCTACCCAGACAGGGAAATGTGTGCATGAGGGATTTCCACCCGCAGGTAACCTTGTTGTCAGGAGACATGGAGCACAAGACAGGCTTGTGGAACTCAGTCACTCCTGGAGCCCCTCCTAGGTGTAGGTTGTAGGATTCTCTAAATGGAATTATGGCATCCAACAGATATCTGGGATGACTTGATTTGCCCACAATGTGGATGGGTGATCATCTCTTCCCACCATATTGAGTTTCCTCACTAACTGCATAATTGGTTGGTAACCAATCACACAACAATATCCAACCAGTTCACAACTACAGTGATGATTCAGTTTTGTGCTTTCTGTGGAGCAGGTGCTGAGCTGGGCAATTGCAAACACTATCCCATTCTCTCTTTACCACCAGCTCAAGATGTAGATTCTGGCATCACCTCATTAAAGAGGAGAGAAATGGAATGTCCCTAACCCTGGGCAACTTTACTAAGACCGCAACGCCAATGTGAAAGCTTCCCGGAGAACCCAGTCTTCTTGTCTCTGAGATTCTAAACAACAATCTTATTCAGCCTCCAAATCTTACTGATAAAATTAATAACAATAGTGAACATGTTTGGAGTAGCTACTATATTCAGACACTGAGTTAACACCATAGGCAATCTTGCCCAATAAAATCCCATCAGGTGGGAATGATGAGATTCATGATATCAGGCTCTGGGACTTAGCTATTACTAAACTCATTTTAGAGAACTAAAGACTAAGCTCTGGACAGTTCAGAAAGGAGAAAGGAGACCAGGACTCTGTGAGGAAATATTTAAGGTTAATCTCCTTGATCAATCTGACCCAGGGTCTGCTCTTTCAACCCTATCTTCTCTTCACAAGCAGCATGGAAAAGTCCTTGCTGAATTACATGAAGAATTTGGCTGCTCCTTCAGATATCAGAATCTGAGAAAGCTGAGGGACTGGATTCCAGTTAGAAGGTGTAGGGTAAATGGAAGTGATCAAGTTTCTCTGCCCTCCCCACAATCAGCATCAGTGATCGACACCCCTGGTCTTACACACGTGCCTGGAGTATGGTGTGGGCATGTGTGAGTGGGCACAGCTGAGCTGAGAGACCCCAGCATGACACCAGAGGACCGTGCAGCAGAGAGCAGCAGAGAGCAGTAGAGACCAGGAGAGAATTCAAATGCCAGAGAGCCCAGGAAGAGTAAAGATTAGCCAGGGACTAGGAGGGCTGCCAGCCTCCTGGCCCCCAGTCTCCCTGCCTGCCTGGTGGTCTCACTAGAAATGGTGTAGAAAGATCATTAAAAGCCTGAAAAAGCCACTGAGGGCTCCAGGACTCTCCTTTACCCGTCTGCCCGGATCCATCGAGAACCTGCTCTGTGCCTTGCTGGCACTACAAAGGGATTCTAGACATCACATATGCCCACACCAAAAGGGACAATTCTTAACAAAAATATCACCAGTCTTCAAGTAAATCAGAAAATAATGACAATGGGGTAAAGTTTTCATAAGATTAAGTCTACTTAAAAGACTGTCCTTTTTATTTTTTTTAAAGATTTATTTATTTATACAAGCACTGGGTACAGTCAGAAGCGCGGGAGGGTGAGAGAATTCACCAGAACCAGAGGGGAGAGCAGAGCAGGCAGACTGACGAAGTACACTGCTGAGGGGAGCAGTGGGCGGCAGGAGAGGTCTGTGCACCATGTGGGACCCTGGCCCAGTGGCCGGGGATCAAACCGGCGTTGCAGAGGTTGCGGGCAGCTTCGCAACCCAGCGCTCAACCGCTCCGCCACCAGGGAGGCCCAAAGACTGTCTTTTTAAAGCAATGATGGCAATTATAGGTAGGAATTTTCTTATCCTTTTTGGCAAAATATGTATTTGTCAAAAATATTTTTTTAGGGGGAGCATCAGGAATTTTTCTGGGTCATAAAGTCCAAAAATATCTAAGCCCTCCCATTGGACAGAAGAGGAAGTCAGTGCAGGGGAGATGAAGAGAAGTGAAAGGCCAGGCCCAGGCCATTGGTGACTCATCCAGGAGCCCCCCAGGGAAAGCCCCTTTTTCCCAGTATAGGTTTGTCTTCACCCCCTCCCTTACCTCAGACACCATCTCAGGAATTCAAACAGTCATGCCTCCACCCCAAAACTGTGTTTCTCACCTTTTTCCTATGCTCGAAATCCTCTGAATTCAGAAACGGGCTCCTGGCAACCCCCTCCCTGACTCTCCCCCACATGTCCTTACCTGAGTGGCATCCTCGGGTGGTGGGCATCCCCAGCAAGGTTGGTGTCGGGGCAGGGGTGACCTTGGCTAAAGTCAGAAGTCAATAGAGTATGAGTGTGTCTCAGAGCAGAGAGCCCCCCAATCCTAGCTTCAGCAGCTAAAACACCAACTCAACACAAGGAAGAGAAACACTTCCTCAACTTCCCAACCCACCTGGGCACCTCCTAGAGAGGCTACCCTCACTGAAAATGTCTGGCTTAGAACCTACAGCCACATGAAGGGCCACCTTCAGGGCTTTGCATAAGATAGCTCAGAAAGTTCTTCCAGCAGCCTAGTGGTAGGTGGTATTATATTTTCTTAAGAGGTCATCAAGTTAAATAACCTGCCTGAGGTTACCAACCAGTAAGAGGCACAGTTGGATTTGAACTGAGTTCCATCAGCCACAAAGAATATGCTCTATGGTCTTCAAACATGCAAGGACACGCGCCACCCCCCCCCCACACACAAATGCTCACACACTCACATACAAATACACACATACACACACACACACACACACAGTCCACTGGTTCTCAAGCCTGTACCTGCCTGCAAGTCGGGGAGAATCACCTGGAGGAGACTTTATCAAATCCAGGGCTCAGACGCTCTCTCCCAAGCATCTGCAGGTGGAAAAGCTCCCCAGGAGATTCTTATGAGCACAATACAAGGCCTTCCCGCCCACCCTATAGATCCAATCAACGAGTTTTAAAGTAGAAGAAGGGGATTCAAATGGCTGGCCATTGCTGAAGCTGCCTGTTTAACTCTAGGTCCTGGTTCCATCCAACCCGCAGCACTGTAATTGGGGCGGTCGGAGGGGAGACAGCTCAGTATATTTAATATGATGCAGGTGATTCTTGCTCCTGACGAGAACTAAGTGGGAGGCCCAGGTCCACTCACCTTTTTTGATGACCAAATCCAAGTTAATTTTTTTATCATTCAGTGGGCCTGGGAACTGGATCCGGCAGCAGTAGGTCCCTTCATCATCCCAGGTCACTTTCTCTATGGTCAAGGACACATCTCCACGCTGAAGATTCCCCTTCAGCTGGTATCTGCTAGATGTTTGATAGTTTATAATTGTTCCATCCGTGCTGAGCACCCGACTTTGACACTGGGTCAAGGGACAAGCTCCCTTGCCCCAGCACATAGGGACCTGGCCCCCGTAGGAAGAATAGTCACAGGGCAGGGAAGCATCCTTCCCCTCCTCCACAATGATCTGCAGCCCTTCCAGAGCACCTGCATGAAGAAGGAAGGAGAGCAATACCTGGTCATGGGTGCTAGGTGGAGGATGCATCCCTGAGAAATGCAAGCCAGGCCTTGAGAGGGAGGAGGAGACACCTGCCAAGCGCTGAGGGGTGGGGAGTGGGAGAGGAATCCCAAGGGCAATTGTTCCCAGGTGTGAGGGCTCAGGATCACAGGTAGCCTGCTTCAGACGCAGGGGCTGGGCTCCAGGCCTGGGGGCCCTGATTCAGCAGGTCTGGGGTGGAACCTAAGAATTGTTCTTGCTAACAAGTTCCCAGGATTTGTGGGTATGGCTGATCTCAGAACTGCACTTTGAAAACCAGTGCCAGGAGAGAATGGCAGGCCCTGGGAGCCCAGGAGAGGTGGCTGATGGAGCCGACAACCAGAAAACATTGCTCCATCCGGGTTACTTGTCTGTGGGTCCACCGAGGACACTTGCCATTCTCGTACAGTCTCGCTTTCTCTTTGAAAGCCAGAGGCACAGCTGAATAAGCAGCTGGTATATTGACATCACTCCCAGGCCATTCTGAGGCATGGAATGAATTGCCTTTGCAAAGGGATATGTGCCTGGTAGAACTCTGAGCAAGGTAAAAGGCAAAATGGAGCTCTCCTCCCCATCTTGGCTCTTTCCCATGGTCCAGGCCCCTCGCCAGGGCACTGGCATCCCACACCCCTCCCCCCCAAACCCCTTCCACCACCACCCCCACACACACTCACACACAGGTGAGTGTGTACATTTCTCTTCTCCTTGCAGTTTACATGTGCATTCTGGACAGGTCACGAGTTATTTACCCATGACATTAGGTGGCTTGGAAACCTTTACTGTTACATCACTGTCCTCATGTCTTTTTCTCACACTCTCCACTCACACAGATTCAAGTTTGTACTTACTTGTAAGTAGTAACAGCAACAGCGGGCCACACTCCCAGTTGAGGTGTGAGCACATGGGTCAGGAGGGAGAAGTGTCAGAAGACCGGCTGTGAGGAGATACCCTGTTAATCCTCCAGTTGAATTGGGTGCTGCCTGGGCTGGTGCCTCCACTGCACAATCCCTGAAGGAATGCCCCACGCCCTGAGTTCCCAGCCTGATGCCTGACGACCAGTGATGCCTCCACCTAAGCCGCCAGGTTGACAGTCATATGAAGGAAATCCTAGTTCTCAGTCATGCTACACCACACACATCCTGTGAGAGTTCTGCTATTTTTCCTGCTAGCATAGACAAAGAGGAAGCAGCGCTTCAGAGGAAGAAGGTGCTGCTTCGTGAGAGTAGAGAGAGCCCATGGCAGCTCCAGAGAGAAGGGTGCAGGGCCAGCCGCCAGCAGGAAGGAACGCGTCCTCCACGCATCCCTGAAGTGAAGTCTGTCAATGGGTCCTTCACTTGACCAGTGTTCATGAAGCGCCCACTATGTGCTGGGCACTGGCTGTGGGGCTGGAGCACAGCCCCAGGAGCGTTCCGTGTAGGTCTTTTCTCCGATCATGAGCTTAGATCTTTGCTCCACTCAGTTGGGTCTGTGGGTCAGCTGGCTGGACCTCAGCTTCTCACTTACACAATTTACAAAGTGAGGAGACTGTGCCAGGGGGTATAAGCACTGTTCTTTACTGCCCTAATATTCAGACTCTCATCAGAACTGTCACCATTTGCTTGGAAAAGACATACTGGGAGGCTTCGCTCCCCTAAGAGATGGAGTCAGGGGCTCCCCATTTGGATTCACCTCAGTCACCAGTTGCCCCTGCTTTCGTACCCCAGGGGCTTCAGATATGAATTGTGAGAAAGTCTGGAGTTCTAGTCATATTTGGTCACCAATGAAACAGCTCAGACTCACAGCCCTGGGACAGTGATGTTCTCTGGAACTCCAGAAATCTTAAGAACCAAGGTTTCTTATAAAAAGGAAGTGAGCTTGAGGCCGCATGGTTTCTGAAACCCTTCAAGCTTCCTCCATCATTTCTTCCTTAATGTGCTTGTCACCCACCTTTATGCCATTAAATGCATTTAATTCAGACACACAGCTTGTCCAAAGGGAGCACTTCTGAGCCTCATTTCATAGGTGGGGAGACTGAGTCCTGTGCAGATTAAAATCTCAAATGTGAGTCCCCCTTAATACCAGATTCTTTCCACTGCAAACTGTATCTTGAATGTCATGTTTGCTCTTAAGGTATCTGACACATAACTAATAACAACCATCAAGTAGCCATAGTCAAGCTCCAGGGGTGGAGCCTGGGGTTAAAGGCCATATTTACTGGGCCTCCCCGGTGGCGCAGCAGTTGAGTGCTGGGTTGTGAAGCTGCCCTCAGCCTCTGCAGCGCCGGTTCAATCCCCGGCTGCTCCCCGGCCACTGGAGGAGTGTCCCGCATGGCGCGCAGACCTCTCCTGCCGCCCGCTGCTCCCCTCAGCAGTGTACTTGGGTCCTTCTGCCTGCTCTGCTCCCCGCTCTGGCTCTGGTGAATTCTCTCACCCTCCCGTGCTTCTGACTGTACCCAGTGCTTGTATAAATAAATAAATAAATCTTAAAAAAAAAAAAAGGCCATATTTACTAACAGCAGGCACACTGAAATGCTCTTGAAACTTTCATATTTTGTGCTTTGGGTTTTTTTTCTATTTCTGTTTTTATTTCTTTGTTATTACTCTGTGTTCCATCCATCTCTGGAATGGTTACTGGGACCATCACTAACAGATTCATTCATTGAACACTAGATGTGAGCCTTCAGGAGCCTGGAAGTCTTCTCTAATTGCTTTCTTTTCTTTTGTGTGCAGGGGACTGTTTCTGAACATTTCTTGTTTTTTCCACTTTTATATCCTTTTATTTTAAAAAAAGGTAATGTTTTCAGATGGATAAAATTTAAAGCCTTAAAAACAGTTACGATTAAGAAGTATGGCCCCCATCCCTCCTATGGGTTCTGTTTTGTAGGTCTTTAATGTATACTAGCAAGGCAAACCCAGATCCAGTACATATTCTTATGCCTTCATTTCTTAGACAAAATAGCATAAAAACTTTTTATACCTTGCATTTTTCCCCCAAGTGTGGCACAAGGCAATTGATGGTCCCTCCTATTATATTACTATTTTATATAAAAATTTTCCAACATCCACAAAAGCAGACAAAATAGTATAAATTCCCAATACACAGATTCTAAATTATCAAACTGTTATTTTAAAACAAGTCCCAGGCATCATGTTATTTCACCATGACAGACTACAACATGCTCTTCTTATTTTTAAGAAATGGACATTCTGCTACATAACCAAAACACCCTGATCACATGTGAGAAGTTCACAATGATGAGCAGCACTTCATCCTCCTGTCCACAAACTCCCCTGAGGACCTCAAATGTGTCCTTTTACAACAGCTCTGTATAAACCCAGACCCACAGCTGGTCTAGACATTGTGTCTGGTGGACCTGTCTCTGATGTTGGGGTAGCATTACTAAACTTGAAAACTAAGCCCCACTCCTTGCCCAGCAGGTTTGGGAGGCTTGAATGGATAAAGGGAGTGGACAGGACTGCCCTGGGAACTGATGCAATAGCCCATCTGGATCAGAGTCAGGACACACTGAAGACCAGCCACCCTAACCAATCAATGATGCCTGGAGTATGAATAGCGCCTCGGGACCCTCACTCTCTGCAGAAGGAAGGGGTGCAGACTCCCCTCTCTCTGCTGCTTCTCTCAACAGTGTATTTCAATAAATTTCCTGATTTCCTTTTCCCGTTCTCCACTCTGTCTTTCGTGAATTCTTTCACACCCAAGCCTCCAGCCTACACCCCAGTTCTTCCCTACAACATCTTAGCTTCTCACCCCTACTCCTCCCCGTAGCCCAGTGTCTGGTGGCCCAATCCTTTTTCCGTTGAATGTTCTACATTCTTGGTTTTTCTGTTTCCCTTTTTTGTCTGTGATCTCAGTGATTCTGCAATTTTTTTTTGTTTTTCCTGGAACAGAAATTTAGCTCTGGAGGTTTGGTTAGGTTCAGGTTTGACTTTTGGGCAAGAATCCATCACAGCTGGTGCACCCTCCTCTACCACAATCATCTGGGTGCTAACAGCCAGAAGCGCTAAGATGGATCAGCTCACACTTCCCTCTTTCAGCAACATCATAGCTACAGATGCCCCTGTTTCCAGGGTGTCCTCATGTTTTGTCATAGCTACATACAGACCCCTCTGGGTGGAACCATCAGGCGGAAATTAACAAGTTAAATTATTGTCTGGTTGAAATGGGCATTTCCTGTCTCAGTTTCTTTATTTGTAAAGGTAACACATCATAGAGACCCTTCAAGGTCCACGCCTCCTTAATTCTTTGCGATGGAAGTTCTACTTTTAACTTGTGTATTGTGGAACAGCCAATTTTAGAAATTGCTTCATTTCTTGCATATTCCTCGACATCCCTGGCCTGAGACTCCCTGCCACCGTCGAAACTACCACACAGCTGCAACCAACCACTGTGGAGGGAGAGGGATGTTCCCCTCTCTGCCAGTTTGACAGAGGCCCATCTAGTTTCTTGTCAGCATCAACCTAATTAAGTTGATTTGCTGTTCAGGTCAAAGGGCTCCCACCAACTAAATACCAGGCTCCTCAAGGTGGCTGCTAACACACGAAGTTGGGGTTGGTGCAGCCGGAGGCTTGGGCAGCTTCCAGGACACCATGTGTCATGTGTCTGCCATCAGCACCTCCAGCAGCAGTGGGTCAGGGTGGAGTACCATCTTGAACACCCTGGCCTCCACATGTATGACTCAGTAGCTACTGGGAAAGGGTGTAAATTGACTTTTTATTGCAGTTTTAGTAAAGAAGTCTGTGTGTTCTCATTAATTAGTTTCCAAGTTGTGTTTAGAATGTGTGGGGTAAAGAAAATGTCAGGCTTTTCTGCCCTCCCGCCATCAGGATAGATGATGGATCCTTGTCCTGAATGCATGCCTGATGGCGGGCACCTGGAATAGGGTGTGGGCAGAGGTAGATGGGATTCAGCTGAGCTAAGACTGTGCTTTTAAGGGCGGCATCACGGGGACAGCAGCAGCAGCAGCCAAAGCAGAAGCCGAGAAGCAGCAGAACGAACGCCAGAGAGTCCAGATAGAGTGAAGTCCAGATAGAGTGAAGCCCCCCAGCCAGCACCCCTGCCTGCCATATGCCTGGTGAACCCCAAATAAAAAACCTGCGAAACTACTGAGGACTCTGACTCCTCCTTTACCTGGTCTGCATGGGATCAGAAAACCTGCACTGTGCCCATTCCTGGCTTTACAATTGGCACAAGTTGGCAAGATCCATGCAGACGGGTATGGAGCCCACCAAAGACCTGGAGGGACTAAGGAGAACAGACTGTGTGCCTGATACGACGCTGGAGGCGCCATGGCGGTACAGAAGGTAGACACTGTCCAGGAGCTGCAGGACAGGACCTGGCATGAAGGAGACGCCCACGAGGACCAGCCAACGACACTGGAAAGGACCAGCCAACGACACCAGAGGGGACCAGCCGATGACCCCTGAGGCAGCAGGCTGTTGCTGAAGCAGGGAGAGGCCAATGGACTTGAACTGATGGGCTGATGGACTGACAATCCCGCCAGAAGGCGGAGGACCTTGGCAGGTTATGTTTTTTTTTTGAGAATCTGGGGGTGGCCAGTGGGCCTTGATGGCCAAAAGCAGCCTGTGCATGCCCAGCGGCCAGGTGGAGGAGAAAAGCCAACTGAGAAGGCAAAAGCTGGTACTGATGCTAAGTTGAGAAGCCCTAAGCGGCTGTTAAGCAGCCTGGGTATGCTGAAGACCTGTGAGTCTCGTAAAATCACCTGTGGGTGATGCCCTGCTCATTCTTGAGTGAGGGTGAGGAGCTGAGGAACCTGTCCTTGGGGGACGGGTGGGGAATGTGGCTTGGGGTGGAGCCCAAGCCAAATGTAGAGTTTGGATCCCCGACCCATGTGCTTGTGCAGTGGGTTGGCCAGAGTGCAGGGGTCTGCGAGTCGCCTGGATGGC